TGCCACCCGGATGTAGAGAAAAAGGAAATGCACACACGTAGCCATGACAAGTAAAACAACAATATGACCGATGCGTAGATGCGCACGTTTCTATCCGAAAAGTTCCATTTTATGGGTTTGCGTTGTTTCAAAGTGAATGGTGGAGCTCGGAAAGTGTGCCCAAATCTGTAGGGTCTAACTGATATGGTGTGTGAATGATTGGTGACCTTCTCTATTGGCCGTATAGTATGTTGTTCGAAGACATCAATGAATATCATCGCCATTTGCGTCGCGCTGAGCCCTGTTACTACCACTATTAACCAAGCCACTTGAGTGCGGATCTTTGTCTATATTATGCATCGAAGCAACGACATAAGATTCTAAGTTCTTGATCTGACCACACAGCGCATACGGTCGATTCCACAGGCCATTTATGGGTAGTGAATACCGTCTTGTAAATTATTCCGACGCGTTTGCTGTGCTCAGCCGGATTACCACAACAGCTTGTGGTAATTTTATTTTATCATGGATTTGTTGTACCTGCTCCTGCTTTGTGTCAGATATTAGCCAGATTGCAACGGGCCGATGCGCATCGTCCAGTGTGCGGAATACGGTTGAACTATTATATCTGTATGGGATCTTCGTTCCGATTTCTCCTTCTGACCGTTCGGTCAATGATGTTTTTATTGTGGGATCACGCGTTACTTCGTACGGCGATGTATTGATTATTTCAGTTATGTTCCATTATGGCGATGTATAGATGTATTCAAAACGAGATTAGAATTTTGCTTTTGATTTTGCTATTGTTGCTTCTTTGGAATGGTATGGAGCTGATTTGGGATAAGAGTTGATATTTGACTGGCTCGATACTGGCGTACTTTTTTGTTTTTGAGAAACGTTTAATATGAATATGACTGTGTTTTGTTTGAAATTAAGCTCAATTTAGCACTGGGACATGCGAAAATAGTATGCTTGGCTCTGAGTTATCAAGGAATCTTGAACGATCTTGGAAATCTGGACTCACTGAGAATGTCCAGTAAAAAGTACAGGACATTCGTAGGCGATTCGTGCAAATGCGCTTTGTCTATAATACAGCTCCGGTTTTTGTGGTTAGAATGACCAAACAGGTTAAAGGAAATTACTATAGCGCATATGTGTCAGCCATTTCGGTATTCTGTGTGACGCTCTAATGCAGTAACAAGCGGCAATCCTGCGCCGAAACGTACGACTTTAAATAGAGCTGCTATTCTCGACGACTACGAGAACCTATGATGTATTGGAAAAGTTTAGATCTCTGTGCCTCAAGAACGGGGAACTAAATAAGTGAATGGACACTGGATTGAAGTGTGAAGTAGTGAATGGATTTAAATAAAAGCAGTATGCCTCCGAAGAGGAATCTCGGCCAGTGCGTCTGTAGGCGCTTGAAAAAATCGTGATCAACCATGCTAACCATTTGAGGACTGTTTAAATTATATGGAAAGATTTTTACATCTAAAGTGTAGAAGCGGCTTGCGACAATTATCTATTAGATAAAAACAAATTAGAAACATTAACAATCTGCGTTCTAATTCTGCCGCTGAGGAAAGATCATCGCACCATCTCGCAGCAGTAGGACATTTACACGAGAAATCCAATAGCACAAGATAGCACTCTAGCTCGCTTCTGATGGATTCTTATATATACATCACTTAGCAAACTTGCAGTTTAAAAAATGTCTCGTTAATTATATTCTTCAGCTAGTTGGAATAAATACTAGTGTGTCTCTAGTTGACTTTTGCTCGTCTCATGGGAGCGTTTTTAATCTCTCACAAACACACGCTCACACATAAATCAAACCAATTTGTTTTCCATAAACAAGCTTCTGTTAGTGTTTATAGGTGAATTAGAAATAAGAATAGAAAACGTTGCGTTGTTTCTCAAAAGATACCTAATGTCAGCCAGTGCCCTTTTTAATAAACGCTGTACTAAGCATTAAGCAATGACTAATACAAAATATCATGTTGGCTATAGGCGTTTCCCTTGAGCTTCTACTTAAGCTTACATACCACTGCTACGGTGCGCGGTTAAGAAACCACACGCGATCTTCAGGTCTGCGAGTGTCGCTCGAGGATGCTGCACTATTGGTTTGCTCACACGTGATTAGTTTCGACTTCCCTATAACAGCATTTAGTTCAGTGTCATTGCAGAAGTCGTAGAGATAGACGATAACAAAAAGGACAAAGCTTTCCTAAGAATCTTGTCATGAACGCATCGAGCAGCCCCAAACGCCGGTAACACTCGCCTAACGAAACAGAAATGGTGGTGTTCGTTGCAAGATACGTACATAGAGCATCCATTATTGACGAACTGCAACTGACGAATTCTGTTAAATTCTGCTCTTGCTAAGTAGTGGGTACAGTGGAATGGCCTGCTAAAGTGAAGACACTTTTGTACTAGGCCGAGCTATGCCATAAATTGTCGTTGGAAGCTGACTGAGGCCTCTTAGCATGGATATTGATGTTGCGATTGACTCATCATGAGAAACAAAGGTGATTCTTTGTCTTCTAAAAACGGAGAATTGCTATGGACACAGCCCATTAATTTTCAGCACCGATCAGAGAAAAATACGAGTCATACTTACACAATTCATTCTTTGAAATATTTGGCTTAAAAGAAAAACGAATCTACTTGTTAAATATTGAAGGAATTCTTACTGCAGGCTCTAATAATATAAAAAAAAAAAACTAGTTGGCTATTGCTCGACACAGAAACGCGTATACCACTGCAATAGGCTTTCTACGAGTATTAAACACTCATGTAGTTGAAACGGATTTCTCGAAAGCAATGCTATTCTCGATAAACTTTAGACTCGTTTTTACACATCTAAATAACTATTATATACGCTTTCAGCTTTTATGAACGCTTCGTTTTCTAATCACCTTTTAACCATTGTAAGAAAAGTTGACGCATAACTGAAGTTTTTCGTACATCTCATAATTCTTTTTATTCATTTCATTTTCGTCGTATCGTATTGATGACTCATAGCGCCATGCCGCAGGTACACTAATTCATCAGGTCTACACAGCAAAATATGTTTACTTGTTCAGGCGACGTTTCCCGTCGCCCACTCACTTCTGTAACTGCTGGCTGGCACGATATGGGACAATGTTGTTGGTTGCATGGTCTCTGTGTGCCATGACGGTGTGTGTTTACGTGAAAAAGCGTTTGCACAGAAGACAGTCGACAGTGTTAGCATTTAGTGCGCGGGTAGTCACCATAGCGCCACACTGTACGTACACATCTGGGTGGAGCAATGGGGTGGCTTGTTGAGATATAAGAATACATACCCGCTGTTTTCGTTGCCTTCACCGGCTGGCTGGACTCAGGGCGTGCATGACTGGCCATCAATGCGTTTTCCCGAGCCTTATAGGTGTTCATCTATTGACAATGAGGTGTCGACAGGCTGTTTTGATGGTACATAAATAAGTGAAGCCGCCTTTGTGTGTGGTCTTTTTAGACCACACACAGTAATATTATATTCGCAGTTCTATTGTTATTCATATCGAGTGCGACGAAAACTTTTAGCTGATAGTACGCTAAAGGCCAAGTGGCGTGCTGAAGTCAAACACGGCACACGTAACAAACACACATAATCCAACCGTTCGGATTCCCTAAGGATCGCCTTAAACCACTTTTGAAGACGTAGAAGTTGTGCCATAAGGGACAGCTCCCAGCGGCCCTTAGTAGAAGAATTATTACCGTACACGGTTCTACGTTACTTTTGAGGCTTTGAAAAGATTTTAAAATAACGTCGTGTTCAACATCTATTTGACACTCGACCTACCCGTTTTTGGAGCCCGATTTAGAATAACATTTCATGATCTGGAAAAGATAATACGCCTGAACCTAATAAAGCAAAGAAGCATATTTCTCGTAGTTTGTAAGATTCTACACTTAACAAACAAAAAACTAGACAAAAAAGAGATAAGCAAAAAACTAATTCAAGGGTGAATGTGCGAATTGACAGTGCACGATAGGTAGCGATGTTATTTTAGTCTATAATTAGAATTTCTTCCGAATTAAGAGGGGTCATTATAGGTGAGACGCCAACGCAGAAACAAAAGTAAATACAGCAGGAGCGGCAACAGGGATCCCTAATTAGTCAACGATTGACAACAGTCTTGTCGGTGCCGTTCAGCTGTTTACGAGCTTTGTATAGGGACCTAGAAAGAAAAGAAATAGCGAGCTAGTTAATATCATTTCATTGTGCTACAAGGGTACGGAGAATGGTGATAATGGCAGTAGATAGTATAGTCGTACTATTATTGAGTAACATTTATAACAACGGGATATGTTCAGTACTATGTTCTGTGCAAGAGTAGAATAAACATGGGCATGTTATGGCTACGAACAAAGGCTGAAGTGGCCTACGTCCCCTTCCAAAAACAACGAATTTGAGAAACGTTTTGACCTGTCTCAATACGTTTATGTGCTTGGGAATTTTTTCTAAGTAAAGAATCAGGTTCACGCCTGTACTGCTCCTTAGGGAAGACACGCTTAGCTAAATACAAGCGTCTTTGCATAGATAAGGGTTCCAAAGTATTTTATGTATCCACAACGTTTTATTAATAATAGAAATCGGATTTTGTTTTTTTGAAAAGACATTATGAGCATCTGTCTTCTGATGTTATATTATCTTTCTTTATTAAATATTTTGGTTGCGCATACTTGATACTACTAATAACCTCACCCGGAAACCCGAACGATCTTAAAAGTATCATCAATTGATGTAGTTGTTTTTTTGCTACTATCACAGTTCGCTTGAAAGCAAATTATTTTCTAGCAGCGATCTATCAATATATAATACCATATACGTTGCTATATCTGAAGCTTGACAATTTAAATGTTGTGGTTCGTTTTGTATTGACTTTCTATGCCTTATGTTATACTATAGCATTTTCCTATTTCCTTTTTTTACTATTTCAAGCTTTTACTGCCGTAGTAAAATAGTCTAAATTCGAGTGTTTCTTCTGTCTTCCTAGGTGTCTGCGATCGGTGGGAGGCCGATAGCGCGGCGACCGGCGCTTGGCACACAGGAAGTGCTCCCGATCGAAGAGCGATGAAGGTATACATGAGGGGGCATCCTCACTTGTAGAAGTCGAGGAATTTTCAAATGCTCATTTGTGACATCATTGAAACAATTGATTCAAAGAGACAACTGCTTAAATTTATGTACGTTCTTTTGTCTCAAGCGCGGTAGGTAGTAGTCTATATACTAACAACCATTATGCCTTTCAGCATCTTTTGTTCTCCCAGATAGTTGCTTTAAACTTGAAATCTGTTTTATTTCCCCTGAAACGTAGGCGCAAAGCAGTTGGTCAGTAAGAACTTCATGGTTCTCAATGGGCCTAACAGAATGGTGATAGCCATGGAATTGCGCGAAACACCGTGTGAGTTAGACAGCAAAATTTAGAAACAAACAAAAAAAGAAAAAACGGAAACAGCTCTTAATGAAATTGTTGTGTGTAACTTACTTTTCATGCATATCTGGGCTACGAAAATTACAACGTTCAAATATAAGTAGATTCTGGCAAATCACGACATTATTTATGAGCATCGCGCGAGGCAGCTGTGCGACGAAGATTTCAATAAGTTCGACTTCATATTTGGGATGGACAACTCGAATGTTAGCATGATCAAAGGTATGTGCAGAAGTTATGACGAAACAGGTTTAGTATAGGCATACTGCTTGGCTCAGGAAATTCTGGGGAGAACTAGCCTAATTATGCGCAACGTCTATAGCCGTGACGACGCGCGTCCTTAAATCCCCTTTTTAATAGTTGGCATCGAATTGGAGCACCAATGCTTTTTATCATGTGTCCTCTAACTGCAATACATATTTAAGTTTGTTAAATTTTCAAAAGATTGCAAACGAGAAGAACAACCTTGTCTGTTGTCCTAGCTACACGCAGATTTTGGCTTTTGTTATTAATTACTGCTGTTGAGAATAAATGATATGATAAAAAAAGGGACAGTAAAACAGTGTTATTTCAAAAAGCAGAGATCGAAGTAATGAATAGATAAATATGACGAAATGTATGGACACATTTATGCACGCATCTTCTTGTTGTTGTCGCCATGAGATACGTACGATGTTCGACAAATGGTGGAATGCGTGTGCTCTCCGTTCCCATTTTAGGTGACTAATGAAGATTTCCTGTTTCTAAACATAAGCGATACAAAACTTGCAAATAATTGCTACTGGCTAACGCCTACGGTAACCAGAAAACGTAAAGCATTTCGACCTGTACGTATCGTACTGCCGTTAAGCATTATCACTACGATTAATTAGTTATACGTACAGAACAAATTACATTGTAAGGCATACTAATATCCATCACCTGTTAAAATCGTGTCACATATCACTCTGCGAATACCGCCGCTGTTCTACGGTATTTTTTTATGCTGTTGCTGCTCTAGCCAGCGACTCTTGCCCACTTCTTGGTTAACAATGGCCAGCGTCCATAGTCTGTTTAGCCGACATGATTATTCATCCATAGGTAAGCCACTGATTCCTTGGCGTATTGTTCGACTCAAATCTCTTAAACGTTGTGAACGCTCTGCATCGACGCAGTACAGGACATCGATCAAAAGGATGACTTTGAATTGGACCTCGCCCCATTGCCTCGTCGGCTTTATCGTCACCTGACGTGCCAAAACACCAAGATTTGCCTCTTCGTAACATTTCCTAATAGCAGTGACACGATGTGGCTGCTAACTTCCAGCTTCGCCACAAACGGCCGAGCCGTGTGAGCGCGTCTTGTCTGATAGTTTATCGTGTCGCACGGAAATTAAAAAACAACACAGGTTTGGCAACAAAGAGAAAGGGTTATAGGCGAAGGCTGAGAACGGAGCACATACTGATATACATACTACCGTATCCTACATTGCCGAAGGGCTCTGAACCGTTGTTGGCCTTCATGGCTCATGTTGCTCTTGCATTGCTAATCGTTTAGTAGCGATCGGAAAGCGATTTGACTTGGTTTGCTTGAATTGTCACAATTAATAATCACTTTATATATTTTTTTTCTTTATATAGATATATTTCTCACTTGAATGATACCCCTAATATAATTAGGGGTAATAAGGTGAGCACATTTACTGCCAACGCTGATAATACTCGTAGCGGCACGTTGGTGCCACTGCAATGAAAGAAACGACAGTTTATAAGCGCATATTTCGTCACCAGCATCGCTCTGCAGTTTGTTTGACTCGATTACAATCGACTGGTAATGTATTGATGAATCTAATTAGCACGCGCGAGTTAGTTGATATCGACTCTATTATCGCGTTTAGCATTTATTGATGTTTTATCGGAAAATAAAGCTGATTCGCAAATGCTGTCTGCTATTGAAAGTCACAGTTCGAAACGTAGTGAAATGCGCGCGTCTGACACTAAAAACTAACCTCGATTTTGAAACGTACCACAAACCGATAAGCGATTTCTCCGTAAGTTCATTGATGTACGCGTCTCGGAGGTGGCGGGAGGGGGGTAAAAGCTGTTAAGAACAGCAACTTATTTCTCTAAAATCCTAATGGCCAGCTAAAAAAAACCCTGTCTTATTGGTTAACCTCTGACGTTTGTGATCTAATACGGACTGTAAATCTGTGATCAGTGCATGCTCTTTACTCCACTTATATCCAATAATGTTTGACGCGAGCTGCACGCTTCTAATTACATAAAAATCGCTGATCAACTACGATTGAATTATTGATTGCTTAAAGTGAGCCGGCACTGGTACTGCCCTATTTTCTAGCAGACAATATGTACATCGATGCTAAATTGAATGAAATCGAGCTACGTATATTTTTCATAGCTAATTCTGTACTCTTTTCTACAACAGCTATAGGTATCGCTGCTTAGTATCGATTTAAGGGCCTGCTTGCGAAAGGCGCTTGCATAAACAATCCGTAGAAAGCAATCAGAAGAAGGATTTGCTATACTAATCGGCTCTTTTGTGCTCGGACCTTTGCGGGAGAATCAAGGTGTGTTTACGTTTGGAATAGAACCTAGGGCGCTTTTGTGTTACTCCGGCTATTAAGCAAACAGGTTGTCACAGTAGCATCACTGTTCAGCATAAACCTAGCTATCGCTTTATAGAATGAAATAGATAGAAAAAAGAGATAGAGGGAAGCGGAGTTACTGAAAAGTTCGAGGACAAGAGAAAGATGAATCGCTTGATTCAAAACGACATTAATGAAATAGAAAACGATGTTTTCTATTTCTCGCTGCGCTTTTTCTTTCGATTTCGATGGCCTACATTCTGGTTGCGATTGGTGAACCCGCAGTTTATCTTTGTAGACCATTGTGGCGTATTATTAATGTACATCGCGTATTGTGCATAGCACTGCATTTTCGTTCGCGGCATTCAGGCGTTGACTATATATATATATATATAATATATATATATATATATATATATATATAATGTAGGGTTGATGTGCGTAAATTGTTCGTATAAATGTTTACAAACATAATTTACGGTATACGTCACCAACTGATGTTATCTTGCTTGTCGTGTTAAAGTAGTGATTACTCTCGAGATTATTCGTGGCCTAAAAGTATTTTTCTTAATCTTGGGATACTGATATCTTCTGGTCTGTAGCAGTGCTTTCTGCTTAGATTCGGCGCATTTCTCAAGCAAGATTAGATTGCTAGGATGGGATTCGCACAAACTCGCGCGTACACTAATAACACTAAATAAGAGGCAAGCTTGATTCGAGCAGCCATTTCGAGCTTGTATAGCCACTTGACCTTTTGGTAACGACTTGCTTTTATACGTGTCGTAAAAATATAAATACAGTTAAGCCATCTTGAAATAGATCCAGATAATTTATCAATTATCGTTCGCGTACTCTCGGCAAGTTCTTCAGTAGTCGCTGACTATAGCAATAGTCTGCAACACCAACAGTTAATGAAAGATCATATCTTAATAATAAAACTACCCTATACACTCCTCGATAGCTAAATGTTATTTTTTCTCTCAAGTTAGGAAGGTTCTATAGCTACTACGCTTAACAGTTTTATAGCAGATATCGTGCGTGTGTTTAGCTTCTGTTTGATTCGTTAATCGGATACCTTCCATGTGGCCTTCCAAGCGCCGATTGGACGTTCTTTCTAAAAGGTCCTGTCGTCTTAAGAAGTAGCTACATTATGGATAATGCATTAGTATATTATATGATTATGCTGGTTATGGAAGTAGCATCCAACTAGAGGTAGCTATAGTAGTGGTAGGTAGTTGTCTAAATTGTAAAAATTGGCTTGTCTCGACCTTCAGCCACGCGACGATCGCAGCAGCATGACACGATCTAAACGATTATTAGGCATAACCCTAGCAACAAATGGATACGACAACTCATATCAACCTGCTACTATAGCTGAAACCTTCCATGAATCCATGTCTTGACTTCGAATAGGTTCACGTGACTAGCCTTATAAGTGCTAGTGTTGGTAAGGTCGTAGTTTAATTTTGAATCAGTTTACCCCGAAGACGGCTTCTAGGATTCGATGGATGCTAAGTTGACCACTATAATATTTTAATTATAACTAGCATAGTAAATCGCTAGTGAATAATATTATGATGGGTTAATTGTGGTTATGTAAGCGAGGAACTTGTACCAGTGACGGAAATTTCGGTTCCCATGGCTGACAATACAGAACCTACATAGGGCTAAACAGTTCTATCATTTGGGAGGAATCTATTTGCGACTAAGGTCGTTGTCGCTGCAGAGGCTAGAGAACTTGAGAGATGGCTCAAGCTAGGGTATAAACATAGGTGTATTCAATTTTGCTCAACTTGTATCAATCTCCTTTGTGGATTTGTAGCAACAGCATGTTATGTCTATCAAAAAGATATTCGAAATGTCGGTCAGCCACGGACTTTTGCAGAGCTTCTATATATGGCTAGGTAGTATTTTTAAATGATGATGATAATGGTAATAATAAATACGAAATCACTGATACTACAGACTACCGCTAAGTGATGGTGGTTGAGTTGTCTGCGTGTCTTAATGTTTTGTATGCCCTTTTGTGCAGTTCCTCAAACTAGCCATCAATGTCTGAATATAGCAAACACCACTCAATATCAATGGAACTCATATTTCATTTGTTACCAAAAAGTAGCATTTTGACCACCTAAATGCTCAACGAATCGGTACTGTGTCCGTGCTATAGCATCGTGCCGTCATAGTAAAATTGTTTCAATTTTCGTTGTTTTTTATTTCGCTGTTATTGCCACCATGATAAGTCCTTATCAAGCCACTGTCAGTTCGCAACGGCGTTACAGTTCTGAGTCAAAGAAAAGATGAAAACTACGTGTTATTCTGTGTTCAGTGATTCATTCGATGTTCTCTCGCCACCGCTATTAAGTGAGTCAAACAGATAAATTGATGAGAAGAAACGATCGGTGAATAGAAAAGGTATGGTAGATCGCCGGTATATATTCAAGGCTCGAAGCTAAGTTTTTGCTCTCGTCTATAAAAAAAGTTTTTATCTAACTTCGAATACAGGACATCTAAAGAGCGAAGCGTGGCTGACCCAATGCGACTTCAGAATGGTGCAATCGTATTCTAAGCTTATAGACGTGAGGGCTCTGTCTATTTGTGTCTAGTAAGCACAACAAATGTTTGGGTTGATAAACTA